TATCCTCAAAAATCTTATATTAAAAAGAACCGTTTATAATCACAGTTATATAAAGAATATATTAAATAACTTGGCATCTAATAATCGTACAAAGATATACCATAGCTTGTTAGAATCGTCTCACTGAGACGAATCGAATGGTGGTAGTTTTATCCTTTTACCTGTGCAAACAGTCTTATGACTTTATTTTTATTTATATTTTAACATCGAAAATTCAAACGAACAATATTACAAAAATAAGAAAATAAACTAATAAAAATAAAAGAGTAGCTTCACGACTCATACAAGTAAAGAAATCTAAACTAAAATAAATTTAAAGCAAAGAAAAACTAGACTATTACAGAATCGCATACCCCAACTTTACCCGAAGGCCAGTGTGAGTCAACTATCCAACATCCAAAAATCCAGTCCGTTACCAGAAAGAAATCCTAAGAGGTTGAACTGTTAAGCGGCGCAGAAAATCCAAGTGCGAGATCCATGATCCACCCCGAATTATAGAAGAGGATATCCAAGAAATCCAGAAATCCTGAGAAACTGTCGCAAAAGAAGAGTTATTTGTATGTGGAGAAGAAACAATAGGAGAAGAATTTATAGATGGGCCACGTAATTTGGAAGCAGCCGAGATACCCTGCGACTCTTCCCAAGCATGGAAAAGAACATTCACTAGCAAGCTAGTCGAATTAATCTTTAACCGAAGTTTTATGTGTAAATTCTGGCTGACATAAAATGTTGTAAAATTTTGTAATTCAATAGAGTAAATTCATCAATCGCTAAAGCGCTGTATATAAATTTCTGATACAGAATGATAAAATTTGTATTCATAAAGAAAGAGGAAAGGAAATAGGAAAGCTTAAAATAAGCATGAAATAAATGAAGTGTAAAAGTAGAATAATAAAAGGTAGGTAATTAATTAATAAGAAACCAGCGCAATTAGCGCATTAAAAAAACTGGATGAACAAAATCAGCGGGTAATTCCCACGATGTTCGGAAATCAGAAGGAGCAGGGTAAGGATGTGAATCAAACCAAGGTGCACAAACATCCAATAACATTAAGATATCACAAGGTTTAACACGACCTAGTTTGAAAGAAAACCGTGTTTCACTATTCCAAAGATGTGAAAATGTCGAAGAGGAAGCCGATTTGGTGATAACAGATTGAATGGCATCTCGAAGATACTTCTTTGATACTGAGGAAGTTTTGTGCTTGGAAATTAATAACCAAAGGAAATTGTGAGAAGGTACATAAATGGAAGCACTATTCGAGAGTATCCTTCGGACCATATCAATAATGGAACGACTAAAGCCAAGAGTTTTGAAATCTTGATAATCAATAGCAGGGCAGTTCGGACCAACAAAAGGACCAGAGGTGGGTTTGTCAGTGATAAAATGACTTGCAACTACAGAAGATTGATTCAAAACCACTTTTTGGATAGAACCCGTAAACTTAGAATACACGAACGCAACAGAAGATTGATGTGAACGTTCTTTTAAACAGAAGGAAACGTCAGGACGTGAGGATACAAGATTACGTATATTCTGGACAATTTAGTAATCAGTAGTAGACATAGTCAAATTATAGGAGGTAGGAGGAATGACTATAGCAGGATCCTTAGTTGCCATCCACATAGAAGAGTCAAGAAGATCGGGGTGAACAACATGTCGTGAAAATTTGCTCCGGTCTGATAAAAGGTCTTTATGGCGTACTTCACGAGCAAGTTGTTTCTTCGTAGGGTGGGAGATAGATTTGTGAGCAGAATATGAGATAAGAGTTCGGGCAGAGAGTGAACCACTGTCGTCCTCAAGAACATGATGGAAAGCATAGGATTTGCGGTAGGAAACTCCTAGACGTCGGGAAGTAACGTCTTTATAAAAACCATCAGCGTGTCTTTTAGACACACGATTACAAGGTAAAGTGAAAGGAGGACAAGGAGGAGGGGAAGGAGTGTGAACAAGTTTTTTGTCATGAATATGACAAGCATGACGAAATTGAGACATAACATAGGCAGCAGGAGTCTTGCAAAACGGGCAACCAAAATAAAGGCCAAGGTAAAAACAAGATTGTTGGTATCGAAATTGAATAAAGGTACGAGTACGTCTATTATTACGATGAGAAGATGACCAACGGGCAAGAGAGGTAACCCGTTGTGTTAATAAAAGCTGGCGTAACCTATTAAAATATTTACGTCGAGCATGGGAGGGAATACGGTTTTGTCGGTAAAAGAAAAAGGTTAAAAATTTTGATAAAATAAATTTCAAATTAGGAGAAGGGCGGTCAGATGTAAATTGAAATAGATCCATAGTTGAAAGGAGAGGAGAATTGGTATGAACTGAATAACAATTATCCGAATCAGGAGTGGGATCCAAAAGAAAGTAACAGTTGCCTCGGCGAATAGAATATAAACGGTTAGAGCCAACATTTCGAGCAGGACATATCCGTCCATCCAAGATGGTACGTATTATGAAAGTGTAAGATGAACACTGTACATTATCATGAAGAAGATGGGCTGAAGTAGAAGTTGCCGGTAAAGGTTCCGCAGGTGTACAATTCAAATAAAGGACTGGAGAAGGGACGTTAATGTCATAATCAGCAGTATCTTCTGAAACTGAAATTCGGAAAGTAATAAGAGAGGAGTCTAGGAATGTATTTTGAAAGGGACTTATAGGTTCGGAAGAACGTGATAAAGGTGGAATCAATAAACGTATTGTAGAAGGAGATAAAACCAGACGCGTAAAAGACAAGTTAGTCTTAATTTTCTGTGCGCGCTTAAAAGATGCAGGGGAAATCATAGAGGATACGCGTTTACAAAGAAATTTATGAGTATGCCGTGAAGGGCGTAAACAATTGGTGCGTCGTGTAGAAGGGGTACATAAATCTAAGATGAGATTAGGATCAGCCTCGTGTTTAGAAGCCCAAATAGCTAATGGAAGAGGAGTTAGATTATCAATCAATGGATCATCATGTGATGGATGATCGTCAACAGGGGGGATAGCGAAATCCTTTTCTGAATCCGCAGTAGACAAAAGAGAGTCCAAACGCAAGTGTAAAAGGCGTTTTTGTTCAGAAAGAGAGTCGTCTAGAAGGCGGAGGGGGCCAAAAGCGAGGTAAGCACGTGACTTGGCGGAAGAGTTATCAGGAAGAGAGTTGTAACGAGCAAAAAGAGTTTCTTGTTTAAGGGCGCACTTAGCGCAAAGGTCCTCAACTTCGCGAAGTTTGGAAAGAACTTCATCCCAACTCAAGGTTGAGAAGTCGTGAGAAGAGGCCATAGGCCAGAATAAGAATAGAAAAGATAAAAATAAAAGAAAAAGTAATAAAAAACTTTGAAAAAAAATTTTT